AGCGTGGCCCGAGTTCGGTAATTCTTGAGGCAGATCCTACAGAGGTTGAGCGTGGCCCGAGTTCGGTCATTCTTGAGGCAGATCCTACAGAGGTTCAGCGTGGCCCGAGTTTGGTAATTCTTGAGGCAGCTTGCACGGTTGGCATTATCAAGAGCTTACTTGTAGGTCCTCCCATGACTAAAACAGAGCAAAAGGTTTTTTGTTATTTTATGAGAAGAAGAGTTTCACATGAGACGCTTCGAACCATAGAGATCCAATTAAGCATCTTGTACGAGCTCCTTCATACCAAGTTGCCCGTAGTTGATTCCAAGATTGGTTATATTTGCCGGATGGTTGACTTTGGTTGCATCTTGGGAGCCTTGGTGTCCTTCTCAATATTACTTAAGAAGTACTACCATAGTAAGTTGGGGGAGTTTGACATCTGGCTGACATATGGGTTGCTGATTGGGGCTTTGGCATTGGATTTGATATCTATTTGGTTACTCATGTCCTCTGATTGGATTGCTGTTAGGCAGTACTCTAACAAAAAGAATTATGAGAAATTCATTAATAGGTACAGGTGGTCTAACTCAGTTCCCCAATTAAATATCTTTGATTGTCATTTCAGTAATAAAGACGGACATTATGCAAACAAATTGGTTGATTTTCTTGGCAAAAGGTTTGAAACCATAAGAAGAAGAATTCTATGTGTGTCCTCCAAAGATTTTGTAGAAGAACAAGCTTGGAAATTCATTTTTACAACGCTACAAGAACAGGGTATTGGAGTTGCCGGCTCGAAAATCTTTGGTTCATCTAGAATTCTCACCGGTCATATTACCAACTTCGCTTGGACCCTGAAGAAGTTTGAACATATGGATAGCCTCCTGATATGGCACATAGCGACTGAAATATGCTACCAAAAAGAATGTTCAGATAACAGCCCCAGCAATTCTACCTCTACATCTACTAATTGCTTTGATCACCGAAAAATATGCAAGTTGATTTCAGATTATATGTTTTACCTTTTGGTGATGGAGCCTAGGATGACAGCCACCTCGCCTAACAATTTGAAGATGGTTTTTGAGGTTATAGACTCTGATGAAAAATGGAAGTGGCCAAGTTATACGGAGAAGGGATCCAAAGAAACATTCACTAAAGATCCAAGAAAGCTATTGGAAGAAGAAGGTGAAGACGATCATATAGATCTAGATATGTTGAAGGAAGATGAGGACAAGTTAGAACCCGTTCAAATTGAACATGTAGCTAGATTTTCGAGAATAGATGCTGCACGTCTTCTTGCCAAGGAGCTTCTGAATCAGCCCGGTGGTTGTCCGTGGGAATTAATGGGCAGATTTTGGGTAGAAATAGTATGTTATGCTGCTATTAATTGCCAACCCAATGCCCATGCACGACAAGTAAGCAGAGGTGGACAATTTCTCACCTTGGTTTGGTTGTTGATAAATTACTTGGGATTAACTCCCCCTTCAATGAATCTAGAGTTGTTTTCATTTAACCCTGACATAGCATATGTGAAGGCAAATGCACGGCGCATAAGACGCCAGTATGCGTCAACAGATTTATGAAAATTTG